GTCATTCTGTGATAAATCACTTGTTGCTCTTTGATTTCTGCTTCATTACCTGAAGTTTCTTTGAACTGAAACAACATAAGTGCTACAGCCAGAGTGGGAACTCAGCTTTGATGTTTACATTAGATAAAACCAACCATATCTGTGCCTTATAACTTCCACATTAATACACATCACACATGTATGGACTGTTTTGCAGACACTGTTAAGCTCCGCCTACCAGACACAGCGATGGTTTCCAGTACTAAAACAAAAACATCACTGGCTATCCCAGTGCGAGCAGTTTTTTTTGTGCATCACCTGTGTAAAATGTCCCACTCCATTAAATCAAACCCACCAATCCTCTTAGCAAACACTGTGTTGTGGAAGTGGTGTGGTGTCAGTGAAATGTCTGCTCTAAGTTCAGGGGCAGTTGTTTTCAGCTGTAAAGTCTTGTAATTGAGCAAAATTACATGAAACAACCAGATTCTCTCCTTCTGCTTTTAATTGGTATATTTTGTAACGAGCAGACCAGGGGTAGTCTGGTCCTTACCTTCCTACAGCTCCGCTCAGTTCTAGATCCTTCTCTGCTCCGTCTGGGACTTCTCCCACTGAGATGATTTCACTGGCAGATTTTTAACGGACCAATCAGAGAACAGAACGTTGATGTTCTGCAGTGTCTGCTTGTAGTTTATTTTACCTGGGCCAATCAGAGAACAGAAGGAGGAGCTTTGAACAACGTTGATGTTCTGCACAGTGTCTGCTAGTTATTTTAGCATACAGCAGTGGAGGAAGTGAATGAAGCCAGTCTGTGTTGATAAGGCTTCAAATTAAATTAAATTAGTCTGACAAAGCAGCAGCTCTCATTTACAGTCGTCTCCTTCAGCTCGGTATATTTCTCCTCTCAGTAGGGTTGTTTACAGCACACGTGATTTCCTGTTAGCTTCTTAGCTTAGCCTCCTTCACAGCGACATACAGTACGTTGCAACCAACTGATCCAGTTATTTTAAACTTCAGCAGAGGCCACGCCTCCTGAAGGAAACACTTCTCTATAGCAGAGGGTCCAGACCCTGGTATGAAGCCAAGTGAAGGACAGGGTCTGGTTTAAACCAGGCTAGACCAGGGGTGGAGTGAGGAGAGTTTTCCATGCAGACAACCATGATCCCTTAGCTTTAAAGTGCCTGTCACATCAAACTTTTGTGATGAATATGAATGCATTTTTGGAAAGTTAACATATTGCAAAGGAAATTTCACACCACTGAGAGGAACAGTTGTTGAGATATTTGCAYGTGAAGTAACAGGAAGTGATGTCAAAGGGGAATGTSWRCATGTRAACARAGCTTTGCTACAACAGCCAACAACACAGACAGCAGGGAGTCTTCTGATGTTTCTTTACATTATTTTAATCCCTATAAGAGAGAGATGAAGAAGAGTCAGAGTTCAAATAATATTATAATAAACAAAGAACAGTTTTCTTTCTTAAAGAGTTCCCCTTTGATGTCACTTCCTGTTTCACTTTAGATGGGCCAAATTTAAAGGAAAATATGTCAGTTATGGGACAAAATGGGTTAAATCACGTGCTTTATGCCAATTTTCTTAAATATGAAGATATTTTCGTTGACTGTATTTGAAGGCGAGGCACTTTAAATCCATGTCAGCAGAAAAAAAAACAAAATCTAAGTTCTGTGTTGTACTTACTAATCAGTGGACACAACACAACTCAGCTGTTGTACCAGTAGCTCAAATATGTCTTTTTCATTGACTGGTTCTAGCAGCTAACACTAAAAACAACATGGAGTAGGTGGCAACAGGAAGTCAGACGTGGCTTAAATTTAAACATCATTGCTACTTTAGTCATAAAGGCTWTTCCCATGACATTTTTAGGCATATTTTTATGATTTACATTGCCATGGTAACTCAAAACGCCAATGAAAATAAGGCTACACATGTGAGGACCGAGCCGGTCATTGTGGTACAACATCTTTTTGTAAAGGGACCTGCCACTTTGTTCAAATAAGGAGGGAAACCTTTAAGTTTAGTTGTTTTTTTTAATCCGCAGCAGGAGGTGGATGTAGGGCAAGATAAAGGGTCATATCCTTTAATAAACCCTGTTAAATACATATRAACATCTATTTATGAAGCACCTGTGTATGGATATCACATGTATCACTCACCTGTCTGAGAAGCACAGTATGTGTCTAACTTGTTTCTTTATTACAGTGTAATTTAGTTTAGTTTTAGTTAAGGTAATTGTAACAATCCCTCATCAATAATTTTACTCTTTGAGTTTATCAAACGTTCAGTTTTAAGAATGACAGAAAAACACTTCTTACATTTCAGGTGAGATGAAGATTTAAATTACCAGCTGACAAATCCTGATTTGTTCTGCACAACCTGAAAATAACAGGAAATAAAACAAACTTTCATTTAGCTTTTTTCCTCCTTTTTTTCAACCCGTGACCCAAACTGTGAGAATCGTACCAGTCCATATCATATTTGTGTTGATAAACCTGTAGCAGGTTGTTGATGCAGCTGAGTTACTGTTACTGGTTTAAAAATTAACATTTGTTCATGTCGATCTTTGTCGGTCAGTCTGTGTGCTTTTTGTGTTTGCCACATAGAGATCTGTGGCTCCCAACCAGCTGCTTCAGCACACATCCCAGCATTCCCAGCATTCCCAGCTTCAGCTGCAGGCTGAGCCCCAGCCTGCGGCCCAGCACCAGCAGCCCTCAGGGGGCAGGAGGTCCCACCGCACCCTGCCCAAAGACCAGACCCAGCTGCTGTCGCTGCAGCACGACCACAGGGAGAAGGAGAGGCTGAGGCAGAGAGCGCCGCCTGTGGCCGCTGTCCACAAGCTAACGGCTGTTAGCGGTCACAAAGCTGCTCCTGCTGCTCCTGCTGCTCCTGCTGCTCCTGCTGCTCCTGCTGCCGTGCCCTGCCGCCCTGCAAACACCCAGCGCCCAGCGGTAAACCCTGCTTCCCTCTGCGGACCCTCTGTCCCCTGTGACCCCCACGTGTTGCTGCTCCTCACTCTGTCAGGCTCTGTTTGGTGTTCAGCTTCTCTTTGCACTGCTCCAATGCAACGCTTTTTCTTTTACACAGCTGACCACTTGATTTTATTAAATGTTAATCCAGTGGTTTAAAGGTCAGGAGGAAGCAGACTTAACAAAAGTCAACCTGTTAAAACCAGTTTAGATCTAAGCACGTGATTTATCTAAACTTTGACTGGTTTTGGTTCTGTCTGATGGTACTGTGCTTTGGTTTGACTTGTTCAGGACTTTTATTTTATTCAAGAATGCTGAAAAATAGAATTTCACTTACAAAATAAATAAATGAAAAGATTATTTTAGATGAGCTCATTGTTTAAAGGCCCAGTCCACACTACTCTGGGTCACAAATGTGTATCTTTCTGAAGGACTGGTGTGGACATGTCCCCACCAACTGTGGCCGGACAGGGACGGTCCCCACCAATATTTGCACATCTTTTTTCCTTTGAGTGCATCTACATTTCCCGACAGTAGGCAGCAGGAACTGCTGTGTCTACCTTTTTCTGAAAGAAAAAAAAAGTACGCTGCGCCCGATGCCTCCGGCCCCCTCCCTCCTGCTTCTCATCTCTCTCATATCACACTGCAGAAGCTGCTGGGAGCCTGCTACACCTTCCCCTTCACCCCCTCCNGTACAACCAGAGGACCACAGGCAGCAGAGGAGCAGGCAGTGGAACAGGAAGTACCATCATCGTCACATCTGGAGTCAGACATGAAAGCTACAGACGGGCTGAGGTGCCTCCAGATCCATGGTATCAGAAACATTAAGTAAAAGACTTTAATGTTGTCTAATTTTACATTATTAGATGAACACAGAAACACAGCAGTTACAGTATGTTCTCACACAGTACATGCTTTAGTTTTTTATTTACAGTGGATCTGTTAATGGCTCCACTCACTGAAGCTGGTCCTCCCCTCCGAGGACTCACAGAGGGCCAGGACACATGAAGGCCTGCACTGACCAACTTCAGGACTAACAAATGTGAGGAGGACTGAGTGGGCGGGGCAGCAACACTAAACACAGGAACAACCAAAACCTTCAATATTTAAAACAAAACAACCATTAATAATGAAGAGCTTCTACTAAAATTAAAAACACACACCAAGCTCATGTTTGGACTCAGGACCATCAAACTGTGACCAGGAGGGGGCAGTGGGCTCCACTAAGTCTGGGGGTGGTCATTGGCCCCCTGGTCACATGACTCTAACGCAGCCAAACACACAACATTTTAAAGTGTTGACCATGTGAACAAGAAAACTTTATCTAAACCTTTACATTTAAACATGTCACACAGCTTTTAACTTGTTACAAATAAATAGAGTTTAGAGATCTTTGGATTAATTTTAAATAACATAAATTTCCTCTAAAAGCTACTTTTTACATCACTAAGTCTGAGAGAACAATAAGTAAAGTGTGTTTTACATGTGTAACAAAGTAAGCACACAGCTGAATGTGTGTGTGAACTTTGTAAGCATTAATGTGTCCACCTGCTGACACACACACACACACACACACACACACACACACACACAC